TAAAAGTTTCCTCTCATTCTCCTCTTCATTAACCCTAAGCTTGTTTTCCATTTAGTGCTTGGTTACTTGGATTATAGAGATACAATTCTCAATTGAGGTAGGGGTGGTAGTATGTTTATTTTCTAAGTGTTTTGAAATCCTTTGGGGTTTAATATATATTGTATACATGCTTTTAGAATTGTAGTATTGCATATTATAGGAAATCCTTATGTTTGACTTAGGATTTCATTGATCAAGCATGTATGTTGTGTATATATCTTGAGTAGGATTCTTGAAGTTGTATAGAATTCTTAATGATTTGAATTACTATGTTATTGTGATGGAAATCCTACATTCTAGTGTATTACTATTGATAATCATGGTTGTTTTAGAAGCTATTTGCTAAAATGCAAACATTTACTATATATGGCTTATTGTTGAGGCATGCTTAAATTGATAAGTTAATGATATTGTTTTGTGCATAATATCATGTTAAGAACTTGTCATCTATCATGTCATTCTAGACTTGGAACCCTAAGACATGGTTTGTATGGTTTCAAAGTACTTGTGCATGGAAGGTGGTTTATATGCCTTGTTATCTATATATAAGTTTTGAACTTGATATATACACTTTGGATTCTCTTGGGACATGGTTACTAGTAACATGGCTAGAGTTTGGCTCTAGTGCGGGAGGTATGAGTTCTCCCCAATCGAGATAGTGCACACTTAGGGTGGTCTTCCCTGCGGGTTAATGCCCGGAATAACCGTTGAGGTCTCGGCAGAATTCCGAGCTTAGGTGTCCAAGGATTCTACTTTTTTTGATTTCGCATTCATTTTCAAGTTGACAATCTATGCTATTTGTAACTTGTAAATTTTGTTATATGCGGTTGATGTTGCTAAGTACATCCATTTTGATATTGTGTTGCTAATAAACATTTAAGTTAGCTTAAGATGATCCCTTAGAACACCTTGAACATAGACGTTAAGTGGAATGCTCCCTTGTATTCGTCTATATTAATCTTGCAATGATATTGAAACTTTAGAGTATACGCATATGCTTCTCCTACGAGTAACTTGATTACTCACCCTAGTGGTTTGGGTTATTTTTTAGGTAAAGCGACCATGTTCGTGGATGCTCATCATCCTTAGAAGATTTTGAGTTATTTGAAGCATTTTTGTATATTGACATGCACTTGTTTAGCATGCCTTCCTTTTTTGATGTTAATTTTGTATACCATGGATGTATGGTATTGTAAAAGCTAAAATGGCTTCCTTGATGTGTAATGTATATCTAAGAACACTTGAAGATGTCTATTTTGTATGCATAACATGAGGCCAAGTGCCATGTACATTTATATCACATGTATGCTAGTTTAATCCCATAGTTGTCTTATGAAATGATGAGAATTCGAGGTTTGACAGGTTGTATTTTGTATATGACATGTTATGTGACCATGAGCTATTGGAACACATGCATTTTCTCATTTTACATATGTGTGCATGTTCACTTTGGCACACAACACCATTCTTGAAGAAATGAACACTTAGAGTAACATTCATTTATATATTTTTGCTAAATGAGACCTCAAGGGCATTTTTGGTATTTCACTTGAAAAATAAATGTTGGTCTTGACATGGTTGACCAGAAAACATGATTTTAAGGGGGGTTAGTTCACAATTTTTTTCCAAAAAAAGTCCTAAAAAGTCCTCAAAATGGCATTTCAAGGTTGCATTTCGGGTGCAGCTATAGGAGTTCGAGCGCTCTAAATGGGAGTTCGAGCGCTCGAAGTTTGGGCAGAAAGTTTTGGCCTCAGGCAGGTACTGTTCAAGCGCTTGAAGTCCTAAGTTCGAGCACTCGAAGTACTGTTCACAGAGTGTTTTTGTGTCTTGGTTCAGCACTGCACCTCCAACTTCAAATTGCCATATCTTCCTCATTTTAACTCCAAATTGGTCCGTTATTGAGTCTAAATTGACCACATCGAAATAAAATTTCCAATGATACCAATTAGAGTTTCAGATTCCTTTGGTAGCTCAAGTTATTCAAGTTTTAGTGGAGGGGTGTCAGTTTTTGGCTCAAACCGGGATAGGGTTTTTCTTCCTTCGACTTTAAGATTTGATATCTTTGCCGTCCGGACTCCGAATCAAGTGATTCTTGAGTCTAAATTCATTTATTTTTCGTTGTCTTTCCAACAGTGTGCTTGGTAGTACTCACTTTTAGGATGGAAATGACCATTTTACCCTTGGGTTCCTTTTGTCCATTTTTGAGATCTTGTTTCCGCATTTGTTTTCTTTGGGTTCCATGATCTCATTGAGGGTCTCTTTGGTGTCCTAGAAACATGTTGTGTGCCTAGGGATTTTGTTTCATCTTTTGCTTCCACAATTCGGATCCGTTATCGGGTCATCTTTCTGTTCATCACTGACGTACCGGGTTGAAAAACCTTGGGCCGTCACAAGAAACTTGTATCTCAAAATCCTTTTCAATCAAGCCATTTAAACCACAATTCTTTCAAGTTGGGTCCACTCTGAATTGGTTTATGTAGTGCTTGGCTATGTACCTAGATGTTGCTTGTCTATTTGTTTCAAGTGGAATACAGTGGTGTGTACTTCTATATGTCTTGATTTGAAAGCTATTATCACTGCTATTCTTTAAGACATGAATCCTCCAACCACATTTACTAATGCACACAGCAGTAATCCTATTTTTCTTATTTTTCTTAAGCCTGAAATCACACTTGTGTTTTATAGCATGGTCCCTCAATGCTACCCTAAAATCATCTGCACATGCAAACTTCATCCCAATTTCTAAGGGTTTAATGCCCAAATCTCTCTCAACAACATATTTAGTAGCCCTAATGTTGCTATCAACTTCCTCATCTGATGAGTTATGAACACTCCACAACTCATCACTTGGTGCATATACAGAATCTCCATCTAAGTCTTCTACTTGACCCCATAAAGCTTCAATATGACCATTGTTATCCTCACTCTCAACTGCAGCTGAATGGGAAAAGGATTGGAAAGAGGCATGGGAAGATGAGTGGGAAGGAGAATGAGGTGCAGTTGTAGTTTTAGGTACAGGTACAGGTGCAGGTGCAGTTTTAGGTGCATGTGCAGCTACTAGTACCTTCACCAATGAAAAATTCTTGTACATTGCAAACATATTCAACAGACCATTATCAGAGACTATTAACACAGAATTTCCATTACTAAGGTCTCTATAATAGACTTCACTTTTGGGATCTAAGTTCAGTAGTGTCAACATATCTTCAATTTCAAAATATGACATGCGATCAGGATCACAATTATCAAATTCATCAACTTTCGCCCCAATATAGTAATAGTGGTCCTTGTCAAATTTTTCATCATAATGCATCTCAATTGTATACTTTTTAGACATTATGAATAACACCTACAAAAATTTAAACAAACAATACTAATTAACATCAAATTACATGCATGTGCAGACAAATTATTTACATTCATGTACAAACAAATTATTTACATGCACTGTAAGGACAAGAAGATACCCAATATATTACTTGCATGTGTAGACTAATATCAGTTTAAAGACATTAACAAAACCAACCTCAAAAAAATATATATAAAAAATAAAAAATTACATAAGTTCAAAGCAGTTTAACACTTTGCTAGACATGTGGAGTCCAAAACAAGGGAAAAAAAAAAAAAAAAAAAAAAAAGCCCTCATTTTTTCTCAAACCGTAACCCTATTTTTTATAAAAACAACTATACAATACACTGCAATAAACATGAAAAAGACAACGTGGGAGTTATTTAACTGTAATCGAAGCAAATAGAGACATGTGGAACCTAAATTCGTTGACAATCGACACAAAACACTAAAGGGGACCACACAAATTCGAATAAAACCCTTTATCGAACACAAAAATAACAATAACATTACAGAAACTATTGAATCACACAAATAAAGATGCTATAACATGAATACCCTAACTTTTACCATCATTAAAGAAATCAGAAACGCGAAAACATAAAAACCTAAACCTTAGAAACGCATTTTTTCCTTTCAATGGCAGCACTTTGTCTTTGATCTCAAACCCTAATAGCCAGAAATTACGGATCGTCCACAATCAGGCCACGAAAATGACTGTGTTTGCTTCGTCTTTGGTGTCTGTGTTTGTGAGGGGCTGTGTGTGTGTGATCGACAATAGAGATGACTGATGGTGTGGCTTGGGTTGTATAACCCTAACCGTATTTAGGGTTTTTAGTGTATTTAGCCCAAACGACATAGTTTTGAGTATGTTATGTTTCATTATCCAAAACAACGTCGTTTTGTTCAATGTCTATTTAGGTCATTTCAACTTTTTTATTTTTTATTTTTTATTTTTCCTAGTTATTCAATATTTTTTTTATTATTATTGAATAAATATTATTGGGGGGTATTTTTGTATTTTTACCTACCCCTCTAACAAAAAATTATTATTTATAACTTTTTTAAACTAGAAGGATAGCGTTTGAACAACATGAGTATTATTTGTAACTTTTTAAAAGTAGAGGAACCCACCAACAAAAAAAAAAAAAAAAAAAAGGATACAAAGCTGAAAGTGACAGAAGAGGAAAGACACAGGGAGTCACGTCAAAGCTTATAAAGGGATTCACGCAGAACACAAGACCCGAAGCACAGAGTGCACCAGCCGTCCACGCTCATCCATGCCGTCGCATCCAACCTCTAGTTTCACCATCATCATTACATCATTACTCATTAATTTCGCCATAAATAATAGAGCAAAATTGGGGGCAGGTAAAAGGACCAAAAGCCCAATGGGCCATTTTAGCCCAACAAGTTTAAATTGGACCAAACTCGGCCCAATCATATCCCGTAAGGTAACAGATCCTCAAACAAAAAAGCCCAGAAAGAGGAGTCAGGCCCATCGAGGCCCAATCTGGAAGTCAAACAAATAGCTTAGGGTAAAATGTAAACAACTATAAATAGAAGGAGAGAAGCGTAGAAGAGGTAGAGTTGTTTGGAGTGTAAAAATAACTTTCTAAGAATACAAAAGAAAATTTATTGCATCTTCAATTATGTATCCAGTAAGTCAACAGGAATTAAAAGAATCAGCACAAGTACCGTTTGAATCAAAACTGATTATACTCAGATTTATCAGTTGGACCTCATACCGAATTCCAACTAATTATTCTGGCTGGAATTAAATTGATAGTGCAACCTTTTGGCAGCAAACTTACGAGAGAGAGAAAAAAAAAAAAAAAAAATCATTGATATCTCTACCCGTCGACTGAGCATTCTCTCCCGGAATTCAAGCGGATTAAAGAGGACTCCACCCATCAATCTCTACTGCATTTGTGATCTTGATCCAATTACAAACTTATTGGAGCCGCAATTGTCCATTGCTCATGACGTATACTTACATGCTGCAACTCAGTAACCATAACCTAATCATAACAAAGTGATAAATAAAATTATTAGTAAATAATTTTTTAAATAAAAACAGAAATCTCAGTGGTTCATATATAAGAATCATTAAATCAATTAGCTGAGGCCATAGTCAATAGCAAAAACCTGAATTATCCATCGGGTTTCCAGCAACCATAGGTTCAGGCTCCTTGATGTCAACAACCACAGCATCTGATGTGAGGAAGGTTCTCGCAACTGAAGCTGCATGCTCCAAGCAACATCTCACCACCTGGTTTCCGCATTACGCAAGTTTCACGAATAACACGCATAAAAACAATGTTCAAACATGAAATATTAGTTAAACTCAGCAGGACGTACATAAAAAATATAGAATGCAGAAGACAATTCAAACATTAATTTTATTTATTCAAATTAAATATAAGAACCCAACATTATATTCACTACTTGTGTGGATGACATGACATTTTTGTTTCTTTTGGGATTTCAAATTTGTACAATGCAATGGACAAATTGCGAAGTCATGAATTTTAAAACTAATATGACAGTGTGAAAAAGTATGAACCAAGTGGCAATATTTAACAAACTCGATTAAGAATGTTAGTTAATGCTTCTAAATAATAATAATAATAATAATAATTCAAGGTTAAAACTGTAATTTTAAGTAGGGGAAGCAATGCAAATCAAAATTGAAAAAAATATATCCTGTAGTCTAGAATTATAAAGATTAGATAGGGTGATTCCCTAAAATTGTAAATGGATTTGACTCAACTGAGTTGCTCATAAATTCAGAACAAATTTTAAAACCAAAATATGGGTTCTCAAAATTATATGTTATATGTTTAATACATCTCAAGCAACCTCAGAAGTTACTAAGAAAAAAAAAACGATCTTTCAGGCGTGGGCAGCACCAAACATACCACAAACTCCATTTTTCTCGTTTATCTTATTATGTGTTGTGTATGGTACGCTCTAAGAAAAAGTTGAAATAAGTTTGTTTGTATTGGAAGAAAATATAGGGATTTGATCTGTATTGGGAGTATTGGATTTGATCTGATCAAAATTTGATTTTATATGATATTATTTTCATCATGTGCCTATTAGAGGCCCTATCAGTGATTTGATTTACTTTCTACTTATGTAATATTCAGTCTGTAATATAAATTTGGAGTATGGCTAATGAGAATTTGGGGCATACAAGAGCCTTTTACATTCAACTTGGTATCAGAGCCAAGAACATGTCACACACTCCACTGCTTGATCTCTACTTCATCTTCTCTTAGTGTTCTTTAAATTTTTTTAGTCACCAACCACTAAACCACACCCAACCAAACCAAACCCCTTCGGGGGAATTTCTTTTTCCCTCCATCGCTTCATGTGGTGGAGGAAGCCTGAACATGCTGTGTGGATAAAATATCTGTGGGGCGTAGAAGATAGGTGTGAAGCAGTAGAAGAAGGTGGTCGAGCAAGTTCTGTTCCGCTCCACTGCTTGATCTCTACTTCATTGGCTCGGTCATTATGTGTTGTTGACGAATTGTCCAGCCTCTTTTCATACTCTGTCGAATTTGGCAAGCTTCTTGTTGACAAATTGTCCGGCCGAGTTTCACTCTTGCAGACAGAGCTGCTCACTTGGAAGACTTCTCCAGCCCCCGTGACTTGCAGACAGGAGTTTTACAAATCTGCAATTCGGTAAGAATCTGCGATTTGATTCTATATCATCACAATCTGAGAAATGGAATCTGTTTAGACTGAGGATAACACATCCTATGGACATAGTTCCCAAGCCTAAAGGATTGCTACAGTTTTATTAAATGGGTATAGTTTTTTGTCTTGGTCGAGATCACTGAGACTTTAGTTAGGAAGTCGGGGTAAAACTGGATATTTATTAGGCACTATTAAAAAACCAGCACATACTGAACCCACATTTACACAATGGGACATCGATAATTGTACCATTCTTGGGCGGTTATTCAATTCTTTAAAGCAGTGTATTTATAATATGTTTATGTATCATGAAACTGTGTACACCTAATGGACTGCTCTCACTAAGAATTATGCTCATGCTCATAATGAAGCCCGGATCTATAAGTTGCATCGAGACATCTCACAAGCTACCTAAGACGATATGAAAGTCCATTAGGGATATCTCAGCAGAGGCTGCAGGGATTATTAAGGCCAGACACAATTTATCAGTTTCGCATGGGACTTCGCCTAGAATTTAAGGCCCTTAGCGCTCAAATTCTGAATACTACACCTCTACCCTCTCTTTTCAAGGCTTATGCTATTATTGATGGGGATGATCATCGACGTCAAGTTACACCTTCGATGGCTCATGCTACACTTCCTACACCTGACACTGATCAGATGGCATTAGTCGCTTCTTCTAGACCATCTAGTACTCGCAGCAATAGTCGTGGCAATAACCGTGGAGGGGGGAGTTCTACCATATATGCACACTTTGGAAAAACTGATCACGCTAAGGATAGGTGCTTCCAGCTCTACCAACACCTCAGATCCAACAGTACTACAACTTATTCTACAGTTGCTATTCCCGAGTCCTCCGGTGCCCATGAGCCACGTACCCTATCTACATTCCATGCCTCTCAGTCTGGTATTGTTCCTCTAACTTGGGACATAGATACTGGTGCTTCCGATCACATGACTGGTGAGTCTCGATATTTTTCGGATATGGAAGCAGCCTCAGGGCAGGTTTGCCTTGCTGATGATTCTTTTACACCGATAATTAGTAAGGGTACTGTCCCTTTTTCTTTTCTTTTTTTTCCTTTTTTTGATAAGTAAAGTAAGGGCACTGTCCCTTTATCTCACGATTTATCTTTACAGTCTGTTCTTCATACACCTAACCTTTTTTTTAACTTATTATCTATAAGCCGCTCAACTCATTCCTTGGCATGCTCAATGACTTTATTTCCTGATCACTGTGTTTTTCAGGACCTAGCTACGAAGAGGATTTTTGGCAGGGGGTATGAGAGGGACGGGGTGTACATCTTTGGGACGTCTCCAATTCTTACAGATGCTTTCGTATTACCAGATTATGGAAGGCGTTCTTTTACGAACCAAACTCTTGATTTGTGGCATGCACGTCTAGGACACTAATTTTCAGCATTTGTTATTTTTGTTTCCTACATTACGAACAACTTGTAGAACCCATCAGTTTCGGTGCGTTATGTGTGAGCTTTCTAAACATACGCACCTCTTCTATTTCACATATGCGTCGTAGTCCTTGTTTATTTGATCTTATTCATTCTAATGTATGGGGACCTTCCCCTGTTACTTCTTACTCTAGTCATAAATAATATGTGACGTTTATTGATGATTGCTCTCATTGTACTTGGGCTTATTTACTTGAATCACATTCTAAAGTATTGTCTACATTTATTTCCTTGTTACAAATGATTAAAACCCAGTTTAATACTATTGTTAATGCCATCTGGTCAAACAAAGGGAGGGAGTATATCTCTAATGATTTTCGGTCTCATCTTAATCAATTGGGAATTCTTCATCAGTTGACATGCCCTTATACACCGGAACAGAATATACTGGCGGAACGTAAAAACCATCATCTCATGAGTGTTGTTCGATGTCTTTTACGTTGTATGCAGGTTCGTCAATCTTATTGAAATATGGCAGTTCTCACTATAACTTTTTTTATTAATCGAACCCCTAGTCGAACTTTAAGGGGTAAGGTTCCATTACATATTTTGCGACCAAACAACACCCTTTTCCCTAGTACTCGTGTTTTTGGATGTACATGTTTTGTTCAGGACCGACGACCTACACGCACGAAGCTTGATGATAAAGCTATTCATTGTGTTTATTTGGCTTATTCAACTATGTCAAAAGGGTATTGTTGTTATAACCCTAGCAGTCGTCGGATATTTCATTCTCTTGATGTCACTTTTTTCGAAGATTTTCCCTTCTTTGTCACATCTTTTTTGTAGGTTCCATCTTCTTCTCCATACCCTTGGCTCGGCCTGCACCAGTTCTATCCTCAACATCTCCTCCTGTGGCTTAGCCCGAGATTCACGTATACACTCGTCAACTTCTGATTCCGATTTGCCTATTGCTCTCCGTAAAGGTAAAAGGACTCGTTTAACTAATCATCATATAGCCCAGTTTGTTTCTTATCAGGGATTTTCACACAATTATCGGGCCTACCTTACTGCCACCTCGGCTATTTCCATCCCTCAAACTGTATATGAGGCTTTGTAAGACCAAAGTTGGACAACGGTCATGACTGCTGAGATGGATGCCTGGTAGAAAAATAAGACATGGGAGCTTGTTGCTTTACCACAAGGAAAGAGGATTGTGGGCTATAAATGGGTATTTACAGTCAAATATAAACCAAATGGTACTGTTGATCGCTATAAAGCTAAGCTGGTTGCGAAAGGCTTTACATAAACTCCAAGGAAGGACTTTAATGCCACTTTTGCTCTGGTCACCAAGCTGACTGTTGTCCACCTTCTTATTTCCTTAGCTGCTTACTACTCTTGGTCTCTTCACTAGTTATATGTGAAGAACACCTTTCTTCATGTGGATTTGACAGAAGAAACTTACATTGATCCTCCTCTTGTTTTCGACTTCAGGGGGAGTATTCTGGGAAAGTATGTCACTATCTACAATCCTTATATAAACTGAAGCAGTCACCTCGGGCATGGTTTCACCGATTCAGTGATGTAGTTATTTCTATATGTTTCACTCGATCTCACTCAGATCACACCTGCTTCTTCCATCGTAGTCCAGAAAATCGTTGTGCCATTATCTTAGTATATGATGTGACATAATTGTCATAGGAAATGATGCATCATTCATTGACAAGGTAAAAATAGACCTTGGGCAGGCTTTTGAGGTTAAAGACTTAGGTCCTCTTCGATATTTTCTTGGTATTGAGGTTGTACGCTCTAGGCATGGCATTTCACTATCTCTACGAAAGTATGCATTAGACCTCCAACAGGACACTGGAATGTTTGGGTGTCATCCTGCTTCCTTTCTTGTGGATTCGATGAATCGGCTTCATGCCGAGTCTAGAGACCTTCAAGATCCGTCTGCTTATCAGCGCCTTGTTGGCCGCTTAGTTTATCTAATGAACACTAGACCTGATCTCACATTTGCGGTTAGTGTTGTGAGTCAATTCATGCATGCTCCTCAGACCTCACACTTAGATGCAGTTTACCGAATTCTTCAATACCTCAAGTCTCGCCCATGACTTGGTCTATTCTACAAATCCACACCACGACCTCTTATCTCGTGCTA